CCCCCACTCAAGGGTTTCAAATTATTCAAATGAACGATTTGAACACCTATTGATTCTAACAACTCTTTAAAGGTAATTTACGTATAAATTGAAAATGAAAGGTGAGTTTTGTCTAATGAGTATTTTTAAGATGGTTTCTCAAAGGGAGGAAAAAAAATCCCCCTTTCTTTTAACTATAATAATTGTCTAACTTGAACATTAAAGGGGCTTTGATTTGTATGCAGCTCTCTCTGATGTATTTTCTCTCCGGCAATGCACAGACAAGCCGTGCCGACTCCTTTGCTCAGGCTTCCAAATTAATTACCATCAACCTCTTCACGTAGCATCTTCCATCATCACCGTCCTGCTGTCTGGATCCTGTCACATGCGAGCCACACCTAAAACCACGAACAACCCCCATTTTATTCTTACTATATAAGAGGAGATATACTATAATGGCCTTGTCTGTGTGCTGCTGAAGTAGGAAACCGCGCACTCAGAAGGTTTAGGATGCAGCCAAATCGCGAGCATCAATGCCGACAATGATGGTTTTGGACTTGAATGCCTCAGCTAGCATCTAACATTAAATGGTTGAAACAGCAGCGCTCAAAATACAGTACTCGCTGTCTGAGCGAGCAAATAAAAGACCTCGTGCGATTCTTTCCGCAGTATAGTATTCCTCTCCTACGCACAAATGCGGTACCCTCTCACTCCTTGCTATGTCAAAGGCATCCTACGAATTAAGGGGCTCGGTTGTAACCTCAGCTGCTGCATGTAAAGGTCTATTTTGTATTAGTTGCAGCTATTTGTTGAGTGATTGCATTTGTGTAAATTAAAAAAGGATGTGCATCCAGTTGTCGAAAACTACTTGTCCAGACTCCAGATTATGATGCGTATTGCAATTACGACCTTTCCGAGCTGGAATGAGCTTAAATTATGATTTAAATCGCAACGGGTCCTCGCGAAAGTCTAAAAGCACTGATAGATAGCCCAAAACAAACTTGTGTAACATAACGGTAGCTGCAACTTAATTACAATACAGGGTTTATTTTCTCCCATATCTCAATCATAACTATTTATTGTTATTTGATACAGGATTAATATTTATTTTTTGCATGAGAAATTCGGATTTTTTTGCGTAAACTTCTCGCATAAAACCCCGGGGAGCAGGATTCGCTGTCGACAAGGGCCTAAATTGGCTTTAAAAAACAAGAAATGGACGAAAGTCGGGTAGACAAAAAACAGTGACTAGCCAGTAATGGTGTACAAACATCTTTGTCAATCTTCATGAAACATCCAGCCGACGACGACTTGTGATTAAATTGACGGTGGATTTTGTTAAATGGCCCGTTTGGAATTTTATAATTTGCAGAAGAGTACGAAAAATAAAGTCACCCGATATCATTCCTTGATCTTGATGTTTCTAGTTTTGTAGTAACATGATTTGAGAGTTAGGTACAGCATGGTTTTCCAGGAGAAATTACATACGTAATTAGTTTTAAATCAATTAATTGGTGACAGTGAAGATGATTTGTGACAAGGGGACTGTGATGGTTTGTTGACTTCAATACGCTATTAATTAGTTGATTATTCAACACATTATATATTCAAATTACAATGAGATCGAGAATAGTGATACCTAGAATATAAACTCAAAAAACTATTTGGGTACTACTAGAAACATAAATGCCAGATACTTTAATTAAATGAATCTTCAGTTTTAATAACAATTCTCATTCCGAGGACTGAAGTTTGCATAATACAGATCAGATACAGCCATCTACTCAGCTGCAAAAGCACTTTTGATGTAATTGTACTTTAATAATTTGCATAACAAAAAACAGCTATCGCCTATCCCCATCTAAAAATCCCAACGTGGCTAATTATATGCTTTTAAGGTGCCAAAAATCTAAAGAGAAGATGAAACGTGCATCAAAGCATATGAGTATCCAATCATATTGACTACAAAAGGCATATATATAATGAACTTTGGAAGGATGAGGGAAAAAAGAAAAGGAAAAAAAAAGACTTTTATATTACACTTTATACTTTGCTTGTAATGATCCTTATTTAGCTTTACTTTCCCCTTGATCAACAATTAGGCCATAAAAATATAGGTATCTTTCTTCTCCTTAGCTTCCCATCATCTAGAATCACTGCACCCCACTGTAAAAGAAGAAGAAAAAGAATGAAGGAAATAAGTATTAATTGCGTACCCCTTATTTCACATTTTCATGCGTAAGATTTAGTTTTGTTCCTCAAATTATTTCCTTGTATTGTGTTTGACGTATTTTTGATTATAAGGTCCCCAAATTAACTATATATATATATATATATCCCCATCTTCCTGTTGGGTAAACTCTAAGTTAGGATAGAGTTTTTAATTCTTTGTATAACTTCATGAGAATTAGATAAGGTTAGGGATCTATCATGATTAGGAGTTTGAGTTCCATCATGATTGGGAGTTTGAATCTAATTCTAATTAGGAAATTAGGCTAGAAATAGGGTTTTGGTTTCTCTATATATATCCTTCTATTGTTAGAATTAAGAAGAAGAAGCAAGAGAGAGAGAGAGAGAGGGTTTAACAGTATTTGTCCGTGCAAAAGATTGTAATTTGAAGGTGATAGTGGATTGATTTTGATCCTGTGGTTTTTTCCTATTGAGGGTTTTCCATGTTAAATTTTGTGTGATTTTATTTGCTGCGTTTGATGGCTATTTTTGGGGGGTTTTTGCGAGATCTAAAAAAAATTCCTTCAAGTGGTATCAGAGCGGGGTTCGACAATTCGTGGAGATTCGAGATTTGCAACGACATTGGTGACAACGGTACTGTAGAAACAACACTGTTTACCACGGTAATGTAGCGGAGGAACTGTTCTCGGTGACACACTGTTCACTGTACTGTAGCGGAGGGTACTGTAGTGGCGATAGATCCGACAGTTAAGGTTGATTTGTCTTTTGATCGAGGATTTGGAGGTGGATTTCGGTAATTCAGGAGTCGTTCCTAGGGGGTTTTCGACGTGCTCAATTCGTTTTTGACGTCGGTTTTATCAAATTTAATCTCTACAAGGACTGATTTGAATTTTGATCGTGGTTAGAGGATGATGACTTCTTCGAATCCGAAGTTTGATATTTCGCTATTCAATGGCAAGACAAATTTTGCAGTATGGCAGTGTACGGTTCAAGATATTCTTGTGTAGCAGGGTGTTGATCAAGCTTTGGAGGAGAAGAAACCTGAAAGATTGAAGGATGTTGAATGGAGTTCTATGCAAAAGAGGGCGATTAGCACAATTCGTTTGGCACTCGCCCTCGAGATCAAGTACAATGTTATGCAAGAGACCACATCAAGGGGGCTGTGGGAAAGGATCGAGGGGGTTTATGCGTCGAAGTCTATGACCAACCGATTGTGTTTGAGGATGGAGCTTTATTCGTTGAAGATGAAAGAAGGTACTGCAATTCAAGACCACATCAATGCCTTTAATCAGCTAGTTTGCCAACTTATGAATATTGATGAGGAGATTAAAGAAGAAGAGCATACACTACTCCTATTGTCTTCCTTGCCGAAGTCGTACAAGCTGTTAGTTCAGACGATAATTGTAGGGAAGCAGACTTTGAAGTTCGACGATGTGACAGCACTCCTACGTGAGAATGAAAGAATGATGGGAAAGGAGAGCGCATCTAATGGTTATGAGAGTGCACTAGATTTTGAAGGTTCTAATCGAGGGAGGAGTATGGGGAGATGTGACAGTTATCGAGGAAAGTCAAAATCTCGGGCCCGGGACGACAGCGAAAAGGAGTGCTATTATTGCAGAGAGAAGGGTCACATTCAGTTCAGATGTTCCCATATGTGTGATGATTTGAAGAGTATTAGACAGATGAAGCTTTAAGAAAATGGGAAGAAGACGAACTCCTCAGTGGTTGTGTGTGATGAAGATGTGGTTTTATTGATGCAGAGTACAGGTACTGATGCGAGTAACACTTGGGTGTTAGATTCTGCAGCCTCTATGCACGTTTGCAATAACAAAAATCATTTTAACATATTGAAGACAGATGAAGAATTTGACGACGTGGTTATTGGAAACAACGAGAAGATGGAGGTTGAAGGTGTTGGAAGTGTTCGCCTCAAGCTTCACACTAGGAAGGTCAGAATTCTTCATCATGTGAGATATGTGCTGACATGTGGTACTAATTTAATTTCGTTGGATGAGATGGCATCACGTGGGTACAAGTATGTGGTGAAGGAGAATGATGCAATGTGTAT